TTTATTTTTTAAAGGAATTTTTGTAAGGTCTCTAAAGGGTTTTTTTTAACGTGTTGAAGGCACCCAAAGGCCCATCAATGTGGAATTTTGAAGGCTTTAAAGTTTAAGAATTTTTAGAGGAATTTAAAGATCTGATAACTTGGATTGGTTTTTTTTTGTAATTATTTTTCGAACCACCTAAAGGCCTTAAAATGTTGATTTTTCGAGGCAGGAATTTAAAGATCGAAGAGGAATTTAAAGATCTGATGACTTGGATTGTTTTTTTTTAATTATTTTTGGAACCACCTAAAGGCCTTAAAACGTTGATTTTTCGAGGCACCAAAGGCCTTAAAAAGTTTATTTTTTTAACAAATTCTTCAAGGCACCTGAAGGCTTCAGAACGTGGAATTTTTAACGAATTTTTTGATTTTTTTTTTAAGAATTTTTGGAGGCACCCTTAAGGGCTTACAACGTGAATTTTTATGAATTTTTAAGGGCACCCCTACGACATTGTGACATGGATTTTTTAAAGAAGAACCCTATTAAAATTGAAGATAATCGGTAAAAATTTATATGTAGCTCCCATATATTTCTTCGTCCGATTTACCTTTTATTGTGCAGCAAATGTGTAATATAAGCCGAAAGAGGATGGAATTTTACAAATTAGGCCTGAAAATAAGTATGCCAAATTTGATCAAAATCGGTTCAGATATAGCTATAGATCCGATATATATATATATATTTCATCCGATTTAATATTTTATTTGAATGAAAACAAAAAATGTCGGAAATAGCATCAAATTTTAGAATACTTTTAGATTTATTCGGCATTTAATATAAGTCATGGTATAATAGAAATAAAATGAATTCGAAAAGATATAATAATAACGATGACGATCGATAATTGCTGTAGCCATTTCGATTACAAGGATAACTACAATTGTTGTTGTTGTCATTGTTGGCTGATGCTCACTTACTTTTTTTTTGTCCTTTGCTTGTTTGGGAATGTAGGTTTAAGGGGGATTCTTTATTTGTAATCTTAAATGTTAAAATGTTTTTGTGGGTAAAAGTTAGAAGTGAGCTTTTTTAGAGGAGGACTAGAAGACCCAAAAAAATAAAAATGGAAAGATTTTGGAAAAAATTTTTAAAAATGTACACATATATTTTTAAAAAATCCACGCCTTTAGTTGGTCTTCTGTTAAAATATTTTTTAAAATCTCCACGCCTGAAGTTGGTCCCTTATAAAAATATTTTTTATTAATATATTGTAGTTGATACCCTGAATAAAATATTTAAAAAAAAAAATACGCCTGTAATGATACCCTGAATAAAATATTTTTTAAAAAAAATCTACGCCTGTAATTGATACCCTGAATAAAATATTTTAAAAAAATCTACGCCTGTAATTGATACCCTGGATAAAATATTTTTTAAAAAAGTCTACGCCTGTAGTTGATCCCCTAGAAAAAATATTTTTTTAAATGTCCACGCCTGAATATAAAAATATTTTTTTAAAAAATCTACGCCTGTAATTGATACCCTGAATAAAATATTTTTTAAAAAAATCTACGCCTGTAATTGATGCCCTGAATAAAATATTTCTTAAAATGTCCACGCCTGAAGTTGGTCCCTTATAAAAATATTTTTTGAAAAATCTACGCCTGTAATTGATACCCTGAATAAAATATTTTTTAAAAAATCTACGCCTGTAATGATACCCTGAATAAAATATTTTTTAAAAGATCTACGCCTGTAATTGATACCTGAATAATATATATTTTTTTAAAAATCTACGCCTGTAATTGATACCCTGAATAAAATATTTTTTAAAATGTCCACGCCTGAAGTTGGTCCCTTATAAAAATATTTTTAAAAAAACCTGTAATTGATACCCTGAATAAAATATTTTTTAAAATGTACACGCCTGAAGTTGGTCCCTTATAAAAATATTTTTTTAAAAAATCTACGCCAGTAATTGATATCCTGAATAAAATATTTTTTAAAAAATCTACGCCTGTAATTGATACCCTGAATAAAATATTTTTTAAAAAATCTACGCCTGTAGTTGATACCCTGAATAAAATATTTTTTTAAAAAATCTACGCCTGTAGTTGATACCTTGAATAAAATATTTTTTAAAAAATCTACGCCTGCAATTGATACCCTGAATAAAATATTTTTTAAAAAATCTACGCCTGTAGTTGATACCCTGAATAAAATATTTTTTAAAAAATCTACGCCTGTAATTGATACCCTGAATAAAATATTTTTTAAAAAATCTACGCCTGTAGTTGATGCCATGAATAAAATATCTTTAAAAAAGAACGCCTGTAATGATACCCTGAATAAAATATTTTTTAAAAAAATTACGCCTGTAATTGATACCCTGAATAAAATATTTTTAAAAATGTCCACGCCTGAAGTTTCGTCCCTTACAAAAATATTTTTTAAAAAATCTACGCCTGGTTGATTGGTCCTTTATAAAAATATTTTTTAAAAAATCTACGCCTGTAATTGATACCCTGAATAAAATATTTTTTAAAAAATCTACGCCTGTAGTTGATACCCTGAGTAAAATATTTTTTAAAAAATCTATGCCTGTAATTGATACCATGAATAAAATATTTTTTAAAAAATCTGCGCCTGCAATTGATACCCTGAATAAAATATTTTTTAAAAAATCTACGCCTGTAATTGATACCCTGGATAAAATATTTTTAAAAAAATCTACGCCTGTAATTGATACCCTGAATAAAATATTTTTTAAAAAATCTACGCCTGTAGTTGATACCCTGAATAAAATATTTAAAAAAAAAAAAATACGCCTGTAATGATACCCTGAATAAAATATTTTTTAAAAAAAATCTACGCCTGTAGTTAATTCCCCAAAAATATATTTTTAAAAAATCCACGCCTGAACAGGGTGAGATAAAAAAAATGCAAAAAAGTCAAAATCATAATTTGTACATTTTTTAAATTCTATTGAATGAGAGCCAAAAAATTTCGGAAATATCATCAATTTTTAGAATAGGTTTAGATTTGTTCGAATTGGTCACCTTTGGCACGAAGTTGGCCTTCAAACGGCCAATAAAACCGTCACACGCTGCCCGAATGTTGGTCTGCGGTATTTTGGCCCATTCCCGGCGAAGCGCTTGCTTGAGGTGATCGACACTTTGGTATTTTTTTAGTGCCAACCTTGATTTTCAAAATACTCCAGACACAATAGTCCAATGGATTGGCATCCGGAGATTTTGGTGGCTATTGTGCGCTGGAATTTGGAAGCGAGGAACGTCATTTTGAAAACATTCTTGGGTGGCGCGTGCTGAGTGCGGTGGTGCTGAGTCCTGTTGGAATGTCCAAGGTCTGCGAACAAAATGTGTGCGTGCCCAAGACTTTAATACACCCTCTAGAATATTTTTGCGATAATATTCGGCATTTATTCCTATGTCACGATCGATTAATACGAGCGGAGAGCGACCATCGGCTGTTATGGCGGTCCACACCATCGCCATGGCCGGCACTTGAGTTCTGTTGGCCAACCGAAGGTGCACATTTTCAGTTGACCTCTTTGGCAAGTAAACTCGATCATTTAGTTTGTTTACAAACTGCTGAACAACGAATGTTTTCTCATCGGAGAACGGAGAAAACCAAATTCGGCAGTTCACCACTTTTTCGGCCAAGCGAAGCAACTCTTTAGCTCTTTTGATTCTATTTTCTTTCTGTTGCGGTGGAAGGTCTTTTACTTTTTGGAATTTCTATGGCTTTACCCCGAGCTAATTTTTCAATATTTGCCGAATGGAATATTGCGATATGTTCAGCTCACGAGCCATTTTTCGGCCATTGCGACACGGGTTTCGATCAATTCGCTTCTTTACCATTTCGAACCATTTCTGCTGATGTTGCTGTTGTCTCCCGTCCACACTCTTGACGTCGGGCTACGCTACCAGTATCACCGTAACAAGCTATGGTACGAAACACAAAATATTTATTCACATTTTAATGCTGGAGTGCTCTAACGATAGCCACTTGTGGTTTTCAAGCCAAATGTAAAGAAATCACACTATCAGGCTTGAATTCCAACACGAAAAATTTGTTTTCTGGAAAATCCTCACCGAAATGCTTTTGTACGTTTGTAAACAATATAATGAGCTATGACTGGAATAATTTTAACAGCTGTCGGACGAATGGCTTAGAAATGACAGCAGTCTGAATTTGGTTGCAGTTTTTTCATATCACCCGGTATATCCCACTCTTAGTTTCAAACATGACTAACTCACAAGCGCTTCCACATAAATAATAAAGCCTACTCTCCGCTCTCTTTTGGCGCTCGGTTATTACTCCTGTTTGCAAAATAAGAGTGGGAATCAAAATGTTCGAAATAGAGTAAGAGTTTACTCTAAGAGCGAAATCGAGTAAAAATAGCTATTTTCGAGTGCCCACAATCACGATAAGTAAACAGCTCGGAAAATATTGAATTGCACTAAAAATATGGTACTTGAGGAGTATTTTCAGAATTTTTATATCTTTTATTCCTAAAATTCAGATAATCAATTTTTTTGGATTTTTTTAACCAAAAACAAAATAGGATGGCGGTAGGGAAACTTTATAGAAAATGCTGAGTTGCACAAAATATGTTTTAGTTGCCGGAACGAGGTTCAAATGAAAGCTCTCGAGGGATATTCTCAAAATATATTTGCCTTCCATTCCCAAATGGTATCAAAATGGTTTAAGGACTCCTCGAGAGATTTCATTTTAGTCGAGCTTCAGTAGGGTATCTGCCAGAGTTTTTGTGCATCTCAGCCTTTTCCATAAAGTTTTCCTGCCGACAACCATTTTTTGTTAGAAAATCGGGAAAAATGCTCTACAATTTTGACGGTCCTTGTTCCGTAAATAATTTAAACAAAAGCTTAACCCATGGCAAATTTACTCTCCCAGAACTTTTACCCCTCTTAAGACCCCAAAAATTAATTTCAAAACATTTTTTAAAAATAATAGGAAAAAATTCTTCAGATTCTACTCACTTGAACTATTCACCATGTTGCCAGCACCCGCCGCCGACGCCGCCGATGTCATATGACCAGCCTTATCCATTTCGTGGATTTTTGGAGAGGATGCTTCAATTTTCACCAGGGTCGTCAGGGTCGACGAGGACATAGTCTTCGCCGCCGATGTCAAGGAACCGATTGTATGATGATGTTGTTGATGTTGCTGCTGCTTATGATGATGTTGTTGGTGATGCTGCTGCTGCTGATGATGATGTTGTTGGTGATGCTGCTGCTGATGATTATTGGATGTTGTCACTTCCGAAACTTGACAGGGTTCACGTTTGATCTGGACAAACGTGTACGACGACGATGAGGTGGACGATGAGGCAGCACCCACATTCGGAGCATGCGGTGAGCTGAAAGTGACCGGTGAAGAGGTAACGAAGTGAGGCGAAGCCGCAGCTGCCGTTAGGAAGGTAGAAGTGTCGACAAGTGGGGCCAGACCCGAAGAGGTGACTGGCACTAGAAAAGTTGTGGTCGTCGAGGAACTGGAACGTTCAAAATGTTGTTGCTGCTGCTGCTGCTGTTGGTGGTGGGCGGCAGCAATTGTGTTGTGATGCAACGAAGTCGACGACGACGGATGATGGCCGACGGAAAACGGAGAGTGGTGATTTGAGGCATGTGTTTGAGTATTAGGACCGCCGGCTGCACCCAGAGTTGTGGAATTTAAGACATCAGTAGCACCGCCATTGGAATGATTTGCGCCTGAGTGATGATGATGATGATGATGTTGAGAATGATGTTGTTGTGGCTGATGCTGTTGTTGGTGTTGGGAGGAGCTGGACTGAGAACTGGTATTGAATGATGCCATTTAAAATCGATTGGCACCTGTTGATTTCAACAAAAAAGCTAGGCTTTTAATTTTTTTCGACGGTTTTGTTGTTAATTTTTTTCTTTTTTGATGTTGTTGCTTTGCGGATTTAAGTCGCACGGTATTTTTGACTTTTTTATTTTTCTTATTGATATTAATTTTTATTTTTTCAAAACATTTTTAAGGAACGTATTTCAAGTATTTTTGTAGGTATATTTCCATTATCACCCCTTTCTTGATGAAGAGAGAGTATTCTTGTGAGAAATTTCAAACGTTTGAGGAATTCACATATTTTTAGCTACGGAAAGGGAGGTAAAATACATAGCTTTATTTTTGTTTTCAATGCAAAGTGTTAACAAACAAGTGGTACGATATTTTTTTCATTTTGAAAATTTTGAAAACTGCAATTCGGAAAACACTCCTCCATTTAGAACGAATTTGGCAATTATCAAAAAAATAAATAAATAAAATTAAAAAAATAAATAAAATTAAAAAAATAAATAAAATTAAAAAAACTGAATGAACCCGTTATATAGGCAACTTTTGTCATAAGACATTACAATATTCAAATGCGAAACTTAAAAAAATCGGTGAATAATGTAGCTAAACTCAACAAAGTACCAAATATTGGGAGGTACGCTATACGTAAACGTGGACCTGCACACACAATTTTCTGTCTTAGGCTGTAGTATCCCTTACGAACTTCAAACACCAAATTTGAAACAATTCCGGATAATAATGTCGCTAAAATCATCAAAATACCGAATATCGGGAGGAGCCGTTATATAGGGGCTATACGAAGACGTGGACCTGCACAGACGATTTTCTGTCATGGGCTGTAATATTCATTACGAACTTCAAATACCAAATTTGAAAAATGTCCGGTGAATAATGTCGATAAAATCATCAAAATATCGAATATCGGGAGGTACCGTTGTATGAGGGCTATACGAAGGTGTGGACCTACATGGCCCATTTTCAATACCGAAAGTCCTGTAGACATTATATACATTTGAGTAAAATTCAATCAACCAACTTCGCTTCGTTCGGAAGCTAGTGATATCCACAGACGGACAGACGGATCGACATAGAATTTTATGCTGATCTAGAATACATATACTTTCTGTGGTCTAAAATGCATACTTCGACGTGTTAATAACGGAATGACAAACTTAATATATCCTCCATACTATTGTGGAGGGTATAAAAATATATCTGGAAAATACACAGGCGTCACCCATCTGCATTAGAAACGCTTATTGTTGTCACATTTTCAAGCATTGTTCATGGAAAGTTAATTTCTTGCCACTTAGGCCCTCTGAAATAGTTTTGAAATCCATTTCTGAGCAAATCGCTGATAGAAAATGTTGGAAAAAATAACCATATTTTTTCAAAACTAATTTTATTTTGATTTTTTTTTTTTTTTTTTTGATTCTAAACAAAATCATTGAAATATTGCAAAAAAATGGTTTGTCATCCTGATAAGAATATCCCATATCAATAGCCCATATTTCTATTATCGCACTTAGATCAAATGTTTTCCTGCTCCGGTGACCAATTTATGTTTGCTATCAACGAAAATAACCTACTTTCCGAAATCTAAATCTTTATGCCAAACAGACTTTATGTCTGATGGCGGAGATAACGAATCAAAAAAGTTATCAAAGAGTTCACCTTCCTTCTGGAGGTATATTCGGTTTGAAAGAATAAAAAAAATGGAAATTCTTTTTAAAAGTCTTATGAGGTCTTTTCTATGGTGGTTGTCATTAGGTAAGTTCCAGAGTTTTCTGAAGAAGTCATTTAGTAGTTTTGTTTATAAGAAAAAAAACTATATCGGAGGTATTTACCTCAGGATCCTCCACCACGCTACACCCCGAAAAACGTAAAACATTTCCGTCCAAACATCCATCGGCCATTTGATCTTAATATAAGCAGTTCTGAAGAAGCTGCATACCCGAATAACGAATCATGCCGTCGACGAATTCATGCTTAAAATGAGCCATTAACAAAAGAAACTCCTTCTAAGACCTTCTTCAGATCAAAAGTTTTTGCCCTAACCGGCACCTATTCTCTTGTCTAGTTTTACGCCCTTTGGTGTTCTAGGTTAAGAAAGCGGCCGATTTATTCAACATCCCACTAGCATTCATAATCTACAACAATAAAAAATCTGAAATACTTGAGTTTGAAATTTCACTGTTTTTGCTGAAAAACAAGGAATGCGCCACACAAATATGTTCCTAGACCAGTTCGGAGGACAAACAAAAATTAGTTTTTACAAGCAACGTGTTCAGAAAATATCTAAAAATTGACCCTGACTACGTCGGTGTTGCGTATAAAATGTCATCAAACATGCCACCAATTCCAGAGGAGTCTTCAAAGTTAAAAGATCTGCCGTCTTCGTCATTACTCTTACAATATCGTTGGCGTGTACAAAAGGTTTTGATTTATTTCAATTGAAGAATTGGTTTTGACTTCGCCCAACATATCTTCTTTTCAAATCTAATTCCATCGTATTTGCCCGATGACCTATTATAAGGTCAATCCAATTCTAATTTACACATCTAATTTACATTCAGGATTTCCTTTCCTTTTACATCAGATACAGAAGATAAATTATTAATTTTTCTTGGTACAATATCCTTAGTTCATTTGATTGATCAGCTCTATACTACTCTGAAGGAAAAAAAAAACACTTTAATTATGTCAAAAATTCGAATAATTCAAATTAAATTACCAATCCTACAACTTTGTCTAAAATTATGGTTCATATTTCACAAATAAATCCCTTTCTTCCTTCGACAAATAAATAATTCTTCGGTAAAATTCGTTCCATTAGTTGTCAAATGTAATTAATCGCGTCTATATCTATGTTGTCACCAAAAGCTGTTCAATTTTGACGCGGGGCAAACTCCAATTGGCACATCTCATTATTTTGCCTACATATTTTTTTGATCTACTTATCGGATTTTCCCATCGAGATGGTACGAATTTTTTTTATTTATGTTTTTTTTTTTTTGGAAATTTGTAATTCACATATTTTCTGTCTATGCTCATCCATTTGAATGATTAGATTCCTTGTATGTATTATTCTAAAGTAGATTATAAAAGACAAATTACTTAAAAAGGCGAATAATTTAGTTATTTTTACCCACTCCACAATTCTGACTAAAATTCTTGACAATTTCCAATAGAAATATTTCGAATTAAGCATTTTTCCATTGGCAAATAATTCCGGGTCGAAATTATTTTCTTCCGATTGTTCTCAAATGTATTTATTCCCTTCTATCCTAATTTAGTCACTTCTGGACGACCAAAAGCTGGTCAATTGTGACACCAGGTAAATTCTCATTCGCACGTGTTTAGATCCTTTTCTAGAAATGTGTAATTCACAAGTGTTTTTTTTTTTTCTGTTTAATGGGCACTGTATATGCTCATCCATTTATAACATCAGATCCCTTACATGTATTACTCTAAAGGAGAAGATAAAAAACACTTTATTTACTTAAAAAGGTGCACATTTCAATCATATTTACCAATCCTATAAATTTGTGTAAAATCTTGTTCCATTTCCCTGCAATTAATTCCATGGCTAAATTCTTTAATTTCGAATATTTCTCAATTTATCCCAATTTAGTCACTTTTGGTCGACCATTATCTTGTCAATTGTGACGCCAGGCAAATTCTAATTTACACTCTGTCGCGGGATGTACGAACATTCTTTATGTTTCATAAATTTGTAATCCACAAGTTTTTCCTGTTTTAATAGTCAACCCCTCATCCATTTGAATGATCAGATTCCTTGTAGGTATCACTCTAAGGAAGATGAAGATAAAAATACACTTTAATTACTTCGAATCTTTCAAGTATATTTACCCATCCAACAATTCTGTTTATATTTCTCATCAATATCCATTAAAAATATTGCAAATTATGCCTTTTTTCCATTGCCTGTTAATTCCATGGCAAATTTCTTTTCTTTCGATTAGTTGTCAAAGGTAATTTCGCTCTCCTTTCCTTTAAGATCTCTCTCATTATTTGTTGTCAACTCGGGGAGTTATTATGTACAACACAAGGCAATTTCAATTGCCACTATTCTCATGTTTTTGCATGAGAAAGATGAGTTGGTGAAATACCCCTCTCCTCTCCCACCCACAAAACAGAGATTTAATGAAAAATTACATGGTTGAAAGGGTATTGTATTTCCTTTAAATGCATTCTCAGAGATCACCTAATACACTTACGGTAATGCTGCAATGACATTACGTTGCTCTTACTGTTCTCTAACTGATGTACAAAAAGGGCGGCAATGTTGCAAGAAAAAACGCAGCAAAGAAAGAAATTTTGTGATTATTAATTTGGAAATTGCAAATTAAAAGCACTGGCCAATATTATTTGAAGTTAAAAATGAAACAATTTAATTCACTGCACTAAATTAATGACATCACATATATTTTTCTGTTGTCTAACTGATGTTAAAAAGGCCGGCAATGTTGTAAGGAAAAGAAAATGACAGCAAATGGAAACCAAATTTCCTGATTCTTCTTTAAGTCGGAAATATTAAACACTGGGTAATATTATTTAAGTTTACAAATCCAACAATTAAATGCACTACACTAAAGTAATGACATCACATTACTCTTACAGATGACCAACTGCAACGAAAAAGGGGGCGGCAGGGTCCTAATTGGAAATGCATTGGAGGGAGTTTTTATTCGATGTTTCTGGAAATTACACACTAAACATTCGGCAACAATATGCACTTGTAACTCTATGTTTATGTGCACTACCTCTGCTTGAATTTTCGACACATTTTTAATTTAAAATCGACATTAACTTAAATCACTTTGTATTTTTTGTGAACATTTTGCAAATTTCGGAGCAACTCTAATAAAATTATTGGAGAAAAAATATCGCACCACTTGCATGCATTTAGATTCGGATTTTTTTTTCAATTAGTTTTTTACGTGGCAAAATTTTAGTTATAATAATTAATTCTGCCATGGTTTTTTTCGTATGTTTTGTCTCCTTTATAAAACCCACCTTTTTTGATTTTCACATACTTTTTTCACAAAAAAATCTTTTCACTTTTTTCCCTTTGCTTTGTTTTTCAACTTTTTTTCTTGAACATAAAATTTATTTATTTATCTGACGGATACAGGAAACCACACACAATTGCAAAAACCATACAGAAAAATTGCATTTCGTTAGAACTTTCTATAAAACTCCAAAAACGGACGTGGCGATGCTGGAGGGGGGTTTCTGCCCCTTTGTAAGCAGTTTCACATGTTTTCCCGTACTGCTGCTGACATACAATTTTTATTGAATTTTTCAACGCACAATTTTAAATGGAGATTCTTTGCATATAACATGACATAATTAATCAGTTGTTGTTGTTGCTTCTGTTGTATGGAACATTTAAAAACATTCTTTTTTTCACTTGTGGTTGTTTTTTTTTAATTAAAATTTATGGGTCATTTTTCACAATTTTATAGTTTAAAAAAGTTATTTGGAATTTTCGAGATGGCGTCGGGGCAATGGGGTTCTCTTGTTCTTCACGCCAGCACTACAAACGATTGGCGCGGCGACCGGCCAACTATTCGCTTACTTTCGAACCGATTGGATTTCTTCGTCTAACTGGCGCGCGGCTTTACAATTTGCTTTTGCACTTCCTTATGGATGCATTTCTTATGAAATTTTCTCACTTGTTGTTGTTGTGCATTTTTTTCCCCGTGCCTCAGAATCAACTTGTTTTTCTGCTTGTTATTTTCAACTCTTTTCTTTTATTCCTTTGGTAGGTTAGGTATTTCTTTTTTTGTTTATTTTATCTTTTCGAGGAACCCTTTTTTTCAACCGAACACGAAATAAACACAGATTCACACACACACAAACTCCTTTTTTCATTTGTATGCAGTGGAGCACAAACAAAAAGTATCGCGGGGGGAGAAACTTTAAGGATGATTCTTTTCTGGTTAAACTTTTATCTTTTTCTTTGCTTTTGTATTCTTCTTATTCTTGGCAAACCTTTTTTTCCAATTCCAACATTCAAAATTTCTTAGAATTCTTTGGAAATAAAAATCACAGATTCCTTATTTTTTTCGTTTCTTTTTTTTTTTTTTTGCTTTTTGACACACAGAACGTACAACAACAATGTTGTGTTGTGGCCCCTCAATCAGAGTAATTGAGTGTGGGAGAGGGGCATTAGGGAGGGCTGCAGTAGAGATACAACCTCACTCACTGACTATATGTTGCAAAATTGCGACGGCTTTGTTGTTTTAGCACAAACACGAAATCAAAAACTGAAACGACATGGCACACCAACTAAACGAGTCAGCCAGGCAGTCAGCGAGAGCGTGCGGCGACGGCGAACGGACATGTTTACGTTTAACAGTGTTTGTGCGCATCAAACACACAGAGGCAGCCGCCATACACAACACACACACACCAAAGACAACAAATGACAACGGCGGCAGCGACGTTATAGTTCACAACAACGCAAACGTTGGCGGCGACGTCAATGGGGAACAACAACAACGACAAAAATAAACAAGCAAACCACTTCAAAGCAAATCCCCACCAAATAAAAAAGTAACTTTTCAAGTTTTCACTTTTTTGTTTTAATCACTTTTTTCGTCGTCTCATCGACGACGACGATGTCACACACTTCGAGCAATACTCCACTCTATTCTTTCTTTTTGTTGTTTTCTTTTATTATTTGCTTGCAAGCCATCCAACTATTTATTCTTCCTTCTACGCCGCCATCACACAAAATTCATTCATTTTGATTATACGCACTACATGTTCGCTTTCAATTCTCTTCACATTGCGTCTTTCACTAGTTTTTATGTTATTTGTTTATTTCCATGTTTGTTTGAATGCATTTTTCTTGGATTTCATTTTCTTTTTCTTTTTTTCTTAATTCAAGGAGTATGGTTTTTCGTGGTAAATCTTGTATTATCCGTACCGTCGTGAGTTAGTTGTTGGTGTCTCTTATCGCTGTTTAATAGGGATGTATAGGTCGCTTGTGGGAATTAATGAATTATCGATTTGGTAATATCGAAATGTGGTAGAAATCGATTGATTTGTTTGTTTTTGAGCAATTGACATCTGTTTTACTTATTTTGCTTGTGTTTAGAGTATAAAAAATGATTAGTTTTGAATTAAACATCAACTAAAACTAAAAATTTTGCCCTTTTGTGTATTTATATTTAATTTTTATAGAACTTGAGCTATAAAACCCTGTTACTCATCTACTTAGAATACCATGTCAACCGAGAAATCACATTGACGCCGTTAATTATGAAACTTTAAGTGGCGGTTGGAGTTACTCACAATTGAATTGATTAGGAGAAAATTTGATACATAAATTGTAAGTTAGTAATTAATTGGTTTAATTATTTATTTAATTACAAGTTTCTTATAGACATTTCAGCACCAACACCCTACATTTGGAGCTGAAGTACAAACCCGGCCTAGTAACCGCAGTGTTCGTTATTTTATGCACGTCTATGGCAAGTGTAAAACTCTTTTTGTTGCCTTCAACGACATATTTTTCCGCGCAAATCTAATCCTTTTATCTAATTTTAGTAAAGGAGTCAATGTAGAGGCTGTGGAAACTTTCCTTGACTCAGACAAAATTAGGAAATAACAGTAGGCCTACATCTTAGACCGATGGGTAGAAAAAGCTTTTGACGAGCTTGTTTTGATTTGTTAAAAAGGATGAAGCAATTTCCAACTTTAACACAATTAAAAGATAATTTAAGGAATAGTGTTATCGTTATTGGTAAACATCTGTTTAGATTTTGATATAACTTCCTCCGATTTCAGATTTATTTTATACAGGGTGAGATAAAAAAACTGCAACAAAGTCAAACCCCATAATTTTTACATTTTTTTATTTTAATGAATGAAAGCTTCCACTATCAATGACATTTGCTACAAGTTGTTGTATGCACCTTAAGAATATATCTGTAGGATTTGGTTAAACTTGGTTCCGATTTGAGGTAAGCCCCCATACTCAACCTATCCATTCCATTTCTTGAACAGGAGGTAAATTGGTAAATTCTAATCAAAAATGTGTTCTATTCTGATTATAAAAGAAAAACACTTATTTAATATGGTATATCTTTATTTGTGTTCTTTATGTTTATTGTTGTTGTTTTCTTTTCTTGTTTTATTGTAACTGCACTGATGAAGTCTTAAAAGCTAAACACAATTTTTTTTTCATATATTTCTATAAAATACCTGTTTCTTTTTTTCTTGGTTTTCTTTTTTTTCATTTAAGTTTAGCCAAAAAATAGAAAAAAAAATATTTTAAAAGTAATTAAATCGAATAAAACTTAATCTACATTCTACAGAGAGTTTAAAAAAATGTGTGAGTATATCTCTAATGGGATATACATAGAGGCTTTGCAAATTAAAATGTACAATAAAATAATGGAATATGTATTGGACGATATTACAAGAGAAATAGGTAAGACGATAAATTAAACATAACAAATAAAACAAAAAAAAATAATAATGAAAGAATTTAAAGCAGCGTTTCTAGGTGTGATTCAAGTTTTCGGGGTTCAAATCGTAAGAGAAGAAAAGAAAACAATTTTATGGTAGTCGGAGAAGTACCCCGCCTCAAAATCAAATTTGTTCACAATGAAGTAGTAACCCCAAATATTAGATGGAAAGCCATAAAATTTAAATTTTAAAATGAAATAATTCGTAATTTAAATTGAATAGTTGAAAAAGTATTTAAAATTAAATATTATAATTTTAAAACCGAATTTTGGAAATGAAATTCGCGAATTGGAATTAAAATGTTTCGAGGTTTCGAATTACATTTGATTAGTCTCAAAGACTTTCGAATATGAGGAGGTATAAAAAGAGATTTATAGGACATAACCTCCAAATTTGTAAACGCAAAATTAATCCTAATTCTATCCCTAACGTAGAAACTGCGAAACATAAAAACTGACTGTGGTGGCGAGTTATAAAAATTCAAAAATTCGTAAAAAAAACGCTTCTCAATTTCTAACATGTGTTCATTATGTCGAAAAAAACTGACTGCTGATTATCAGTGGTACTTGAAGTGACCTCAATTTGCTTAATTTCGATCCTGATATTCTAGCCTCTGAATTTTGTGTTTCAATTTAAATAATGGAAAAATGTCCAATGACTGCAATTCAAGGCATCGCCCACTTTATATTCTAAAGATGACCAAATGATATTTCATGAAAAATTGATCGAATCGACGGTTACGTGTCCACTTAGTTAGATTTCGAACCGATTTGTGGAGTTATACCAATAGAGACAAGGTAGTGTTTTCAGACGGCCTTAAAATTAATAAAGGCGATCGGGATTTATAGTTAGGATCATTCAAAATATTGGTATGTGCAAAATTTGAAGAAAATCGAAAAATTTTATCCACTTTTATGCGAAATCATAATTTCCGATAAATTACATATTCATATCAGATTCCTTGTTAAGAGAAATATTTAAATATAGCAAGAATATCAAATGATATATACCCTCTCCAGCCATATGACTGAGGGTATAATTACTGTCTGCCTATGTCTGTGTACAATTTTGTTTCTAACTCGCCTACCTGGAACTCGTGACCTTGATCCACTTCTCCAAATGTCTTAAATGGGCGGATCACTAGGAAGCATCGTTAAAACTAAAATTAGCCGTTTCAACAAACAAAATTTCAGCTGTTGCATAAGAATGCAGGACGCGAGAGGTTGAAATCTCAAGGAGAAAAATAAACTCCCTTCGAACACTTAGTAGGTCTGATCAAAGAATCATGTTTGGCATACTGATTGGTCACTGCATTATAAGATATCTGACAGATATCTGGGACAACAGTGTTTCTGCCTACTGTAGGCTATGTGAAGGCCTGCTTACTATACTTCTTTTTTCTAAAACCTTTTGTCACTTTCTCGCTCCTACATCTCTCCTATCCTCAAATTTCAACTTTCTTCTTAGTTCGAGGCGGATCCAAGACGGTTGATGAGACTGTTAAACCAGCAAATACTATTACGTAGCATCAAAAAATCTCTCATCGAAGAAGCTGGAAGAAGATGTCAATTCGAAACCGGTTAGAAGGTATTTAATGCCATCTGGCCGCTAATCTCGGGGAGAAGAACAAACTCCCTTCTATCACCAACCTCCTAACTTTACTTCTGTCTATAATCTCCTTCTCGTTTCTACATTAATACACAATAGACCAAAGGTCTTCATCTTTCTCTGTAGCTGCACAACCTTAAATCAAACCAAACCGTATTGAATCTATGGTTTTGGTCCACTTCTACAAAAGTATTCTGGCGGATCGCTAGAAAATACCCTCTGAACGTTCAATTTCTTCCATCTTTGAGATCATTCCATTTGTTGCTATTGGGAAATTTGTGAGGATGTTATTGAATATTGTAGGTTATGAGTGGTTACAATTGAAGTCTTGACTAGCAGACGCTTTTTATCATTCCATTGTGGATCACTAGGACTTGATTCACCTCTCCAAAAGACTTTTTGCAGATCTCAAGGAAATGTCCTATAAACGTTAAAAATTTGAATTAGCCTTAGCAAGATGTAATATTCTTCCCTTGGGGACCATCCTCTCATCTCTTTGCCTGGGTCCTATGGGCTTTTATGACTTGATCATGAATATCTCGTGGCTGACATCCACCTGATAAACTGTAATTACATTCGATGCTAATTCTCTAAACCACTATAGCGACAAACTACTTATAGAAACCCAGGATGAATACAATATACCAGAAGACCCTCAGAAAAGTGTACAGTAATGCCCAGCGCAACTACATTATTCTACAAAAATGAAGGTGCCACAAGAACAACAAGGAGTTGATAAGCCAATATGAAATTGAAGGCTTTCTTAATCATCAAAGGAGTCGGTTTCAATCTCTCTTGAAGGCTTTGCAATCGTTTGTCCTCATATGGACAAAATTTGCCCAAGGCAAACATTCAGGGCTGCCACAACAACAGCAGGGAATTGATACGCCAATGTAGCATTGTGAGTTTCCTTTATCATCTTAAGAATCACAATCTGATGGCTTTGCAATGATTTGTCCTTACATGGGCAAATTTTTAATCCCATGCCTCATTAGAATTTGCCCAAGTTGACTAAACTGTTTTGTGCAAATTAGACTGTCCATTAACAACAGGGAATTGATAAACCAATTTAGGACCGGGGGCTTCTTCAATCGCCAAAAGATTCACTTTCAATCTTGCGTGAAGTCTTTGGTATAGGTTGCCACATATGGGCAACTTTCATTTCCATAAATCAATATTGGCCCGGATACTATAGTTATTGACACATATTGAAGATCGAATAACTGGCCTTAGATAATCGACACAAATCTATTTTTATTTCGGCTTTCTGGTCAATGCTTTCCGTAAGAGTTCTAATTCCTTTTTCAAAAGGAATATTGTACCATCCTTTAACTTTAACATAGGTTGTAACTCACATAGGTACTACTCCAACTACCATTAACTGAAATTTCAATCAATTTCAACCTTCAATGAACTTTAAATTTCTTCCGGAGATGACTAACCCCTGAACCCACACTGCATCTACAAATTTCGCTGTCATTTTCGAATCACTTACATATAGATACGTCTTAAATCTTTGGGTGTTGTAATTAGATTACACTGAGGACACAACTTACGGGCACCGAGCGAACGCAACCAACACTGTTCACAATGGACATGCCAACAGGCCACCGATATTGCCGGATTTCGATAGTCATCGAGGCATATGAGGCATTTATATTTACCCGGAATATACTGTTGTTCATAATGACGCAATTTGGCCTTTAATGAATCAATAATTTGTTGATATTGAGCAGGCGTTTTGGGTTCTTGGTCGTTCTTTAGCAAGTCGACGGCAGGCGATGATGCTGATGATGTGGCCGATGTCAAAGACGCCGTACTAAGTATTGATGGTGTGGTGCTTGTTATTGCCGTTGGCAGCAGATTATCTATACTTATGTCATTATTATTTTTCAATATAGCTGAGGAGGAATTCAAATGTTGTAAACTATCTGTGGTGGTTGTGTTTGTGGTTCGGGCCGTACATGTCTGGGAAGTACCCGCGGTAATCAAACGTCTCATATATGAGGTAACATCACTCTCATCTTCGTCCATAATGTGTGAGGGTATAACATCATTTTCGGCATACTGTGACGGGCCATAGATGTGTGTATCATCTTCATCGACATTGAGATCTTCTTCATCATCATCTGCTGCTGCTGACTGGCCATTTAGGCGATTACTGCTGCCACCAGCACTACTGCCATTGGTTATGGTTTGACCTATGCCGATGGCAGCGTAGCCACCTTGTAGTAGACTTGAGACACGTATACGTTTCTGGCCAGCCCATTCATATTCTTCATATTCCTCGCCGGTGGGATCGTCTTCGTTACTGGAATGATCATCACTATTGCTGCGGCCATTTGCTGTGCGATTACTGCGACGCAAACACTCTTCGGCATGTTGTTGTATTTCATCTTGGGGAAAGCTTACATTACACACAGGGCATGGATGTTCGGGCAGAACAGGACGTTTGCGGTTACGCTAAAAGAAAGACAATAGGTTATTTTCGTTTCTTTTTCGTTCAGCTATTCTAAACTACATCCGGCTAGAAAGAAGCCTTATAAGAAGCCCATTTGCATGATATTCTACTCACCCTCATGCGTGATTGGCGATTCCTTTGGACCCTTTGGAATACTGACCAAGGTTTACGTCTTTCACTGGTTGTTGTCGTTCCACCATCATTACCACTGGATGTGGTACTCTCCTCATCACGATCAAACAGTTCCTCACTGGCAGCACGCAATGCCACCATTGTTGTTCTTGTTGTTATCGGTAGCGTCTGTTTAAGACGTTGCATCTCCTCGTTGACATGACCAGCCACTTCATGGGGCAGTAATTTCTTATCACAATTTGGACATTCTATGTGTCCACCACCACCACCATTTTCTGGCGCCAGCAGGGATATCGTTGTTGAAGATGATGATGATGGTATCGATGCATTGGTTGTTGTTGTTGCAGCTGGCGTTGTAGTTGTTGTTGTGATTAAATCTCTAGGCGTTTGTGCAGCAGCCATGGATGGACTCGATTGGAATTCTTACAAATCCATGTGACAAGAATTAAATAATTAACACAATTCTTAACTGCAACTTTAAGTTTTGCAGATTTTATCTTATATTTAACAATATTTATTTGATTGTTTAGATTTTTTGTGATTCTTTCAGTCGGTTGCTGTTAGGGATACATAGGCCGTAAGTCGACTTTTGATTAATCGATTGCTGGGACTTTTGGTGTTGACGACTCGAAAGTGGGATACACACTGTCACTCAAAATTGTCTGTTTTACGCAACAATCGATAGTTGCGTGTTTAATGGAGAGTTTGTTTTTACTTCATAGCGGATTTATACTATTAAAGATTAGATGGATTGTTCTTGTGTCTTGGATACAAGGGGATATAAATGTCGCTCAGCTATTAAATCTATGGTCTATTCCAGAACTGCAAGAATGTAAAAGTTTTTACTACGATAACCGATTTTCCCTTTATGATATCGGAGAAATTTGGCAAAACTAGTAGATTCTCGCAGGTTCTGGAACAGACCAATAATTTTCACCGAATTCGCCTCTCAATAAGTTGTTTCTTACACGTGCTGTGTAAGCCAAACTCTTGCATTTTGGCTGATCTTTACACCAAAGTCACCTGTGCAAGCTACAACAATATGCGACAAGATAAAAAGTGGAAACAAGTTAAGGCGCTAGCCGGCAGCACTTGAGAACCCTGTGGTCAGTTATGTGGCTACAGTGTGGTCACGCCATGGTAGAAGAATATAGGTAGACGCGTCGACGCAGCTGCTGGGACAATGAACTGTCAAACCAATTTTGTAATTGAAAATGTTGAATGAAAAATTATTTAAATTTGTAAAAATTGTTGAAAAACGCAAATTATAATAGCCTCCGAATGACGTAGTATAAGAAAACATATAAAAATCTACCTATATTGGAATAAACATTTAAATTTTTTTGACATATCAATGCTCCCAAGCGTTGATGCATCTACCTGTATTCTTCTGCCATGGGTCACGCAGTGGAAGAATATCCATACCTGTCAGAATGTTGCCCTGAGAAGTGCGACAGTGTGCGTCCTCATGACACCAGTGGATCATCTACATGAGGAGGAGAAAGTCCTTCCCTTACGTGACATAATCATATGCTTTAGTTGCAGTACCTGCTTGGGTGTTACCCTGAGAGTCGTCCCAACCATCATATGGTGGATACAACTTCCCCACCCAGGCGTGTCAGGAAGAACATATATGATCTAGAGTGGGAGTTCCAACGCTATAAGAGAGAACCTCTAGATCAAGAAGCCTATCAGACTGATCTGAGTGGCATTCTTACCGATGCCGTCGCAGATGCAATTACCGGACGAATGCCGTCCTCGGAGTCCACCCTCCATACATTGCAGCTGAAGAACGCCAGCAAATGAGAATAGTTTCGGCGGAGTTACGTTCAGGATGGTGCAGTCGTCCCAATTGGTATTGGGCACGAATTGACGAAGATGTGCGTCACGTCTGCACGGCTAGCTTTTTCGAAAACGAAAAAAGGAGCGTAGGGCCAAAATCAAACTAATTCAACCTAAAACACCCTTTCTGGTCTACAAAGAAGCAAGTCGATGACTTAAGCCAGTCAATAAAGCGTTTTATGTATTCTCACCATAACTTGTATTCATTGTACCATGGGTACTCGCAAGCCTGAACTCTTCTATCATTGATCTTTTATCCTTTCTCCATTCCAATTTGCCACATAACTCCGACCATTAATTAAACAACAATTCTAGTAATCTTATTTGACAGATGTAGGTACATAAGCAGCCTGAAGTCTTCGCATGACATATTTTGTGACATATCATTAAGGGATGCTAAAACCGCATTCGAATCCTGCTGTCGTTTTTCCTTATAATTTGACAATAATATGCCTAGTCATGATGTCAAGCTTTATTATGTACCCACTCCTTTAATTGTCATCCCAAGTAACTTCCAATTTGTATGTTGAAAGTTTTGAACTTGTTTTTTCCATACGCAAAACGTATTTGTCATGAATACATTCGCACGCATACGCCACGCATTAGGTGGAGCGCTCATATTACAACTGCTCTCAGAATAGATCTATGGAAACCTAGTTTCGTCAAATTTTCCTTCAATTTTTTAGTTACAAGAAAGAAAAGAGAGACAACAGAACAGATACGAAACGGACGGGAAAAATTGAATGTGAATTTGTTGTTCGCTTTCCATATACAATTTATAATTTTTCATCATTTTTTCTTTTCGATAATTTCCGTTAATTTCTCTCGTGTGGGTGCAATGTAAGAAGACAACAACGACGACGACGACAACAACTTCGACTACCAAACATAAATCCCGAAAAAATTAATAACACAAATATTTCAAGCGAAAGTTATTGAAAAGTGAATCGAAATTAAGAGAAAAATATATAAAATAATTAGAACAAGTTGACGCCATTTTGGCCAAAAAAGAAGAAGAGAAGGAAAATATAACAACAACAACATATAGGCAAAGTTAGCAAAAAAAAGTTTATATTAGAAGAAGAGCAGCAATAATAATTGTGCGTGCCACAGTTTTGTATATATGCGCATTTGTGTGAGTGTGTGTGATTGGGTTTGTGTTGTGTGGTGTGGGCAAAAGGAAAATTGCAAAATATTTTTCTATTTTTAATACCAACCGTGTTTGTTGTGTTTTTAACAAAAAGTAAAACCAAAAAAAATATTGAATGAAAATCTAGCCAGAAAATCTAGCCAGTTGAAACCACGAAGGATTGGAAAAAAGAAGAAGAAAAACAACAACGACCACGACGAGCGAGTATACAGCACAACAAACAATGGCTAAGGTTTACGAAAAATCCATTTCTCAGCTTAGCAACAATTCGTCGTCGCTACAGCCACAACAGCATCTTTTGGTAGCTCAACTTTTACAGCAGCAACAGCAACAACAACAGCAGCAGCAACAACACCCAAACGGTTTGCAACAACAACAGTCCTTGTTGAGCAATGGAAGCCGTGTCAATTTGAATCTTAGCAACAATGCCAATATCATTGGTGGCATGAGTTCATTCGATGATGATTCGCTGCCCGATTATTCAGAATTCGATTCAGAATCGGTAACATTGGACTATTTCAAGGAAAGGTAGGCTTTATATGTCCTTGCGACGTAGTCTTTTGTTCGCCTGCCTGACTGCCTGCGTGTGCCTGCCTGTCTGTCTGTTCGTCCAGTTTGTTCAAGTCCCAATAATATAAATGGGGAGATATAACTTGGAGCAGAACGACAACAACAACATGAACTCATCAAATTTTTGCAGTTGTTTTTATTGTTTCGTTCGCTCATTTCGTTTACTTTTGTTTTGTTTATTTTGTGTGTGTATGCCTTGTTTTTAAAGTTTTCTTCTTTTTATACTGAACCATTGTGTACAATGAAAAATATGCTGCTGCTTTCCTGTGAAGTTTATTTTACTTTGTTTACATGCTGCTTCATTGTTTTCATTTCTTGAGCGAGAGACGACATTGATTCTCAGATTTCTAGCAAAGACAGCAGCAACAACAACAACACCATAAACTGATATCTTAATAATCATCGGCCATCATCATTATCATCAACATTGCTGCGCTATCATTTATTTTGTGTCATGTCCCTTTTTTGTTTGTTCAATGCCGCCCAGCCCATTTGCCCGCTTTTTTTTTTGTTTCCTCTCAGTTTGTTTTTTTTTTTTGTTTGTTTCGTTTCACTGTTCTTGTTTGTTGTGCATTTCTCAACGACGACCCCCTTTTTCGATAACAAGTGTGTGCGTGTGTGATTGAGTTTGTTGTGTATATTTTTTTTGTTGTTGCCTTTAGTGGTGTTTGATTGCAAAAGAATTGAGAGGAGTGAGTGCATGCAATGAAATTGAGATGAACCTTCAATTACATCTCCTTTCGTCTATCTCTCTCTCTCTTGCTTGTTTGCTCTGAGTAGCAGTGCCTTTTGTTTACCTTTAAAAATGTCGACAGAAATTTATTATTTGACATCAAGTTTTTCTTTGTCTAGAAAATTAAATAACTCTTTCAACATTTATTTTCGTTGTCGTCTGCCGCACTGAACTTTTTGATGTTCCCAACACAGGTGGTGTGTTGAGAGGAGAATGAAATTGCAAGAAAATAATGTTTGTACAGTACCTAGTTGATAGTTGACAACAAGTGTGGTTATTTTAACATATTGTAATCGTTTTTGGGTTATTAAAGATTAGCTAAGGGCTCTAGTGTCCCATTTGTGTGTTAAAAATTGTCCAAATATGATTTTCGTGCTTAAATTGCATTGGAAGCAATTAAAATGAAACTCCGACGTCATGATGGAGTGGAATTTACACAGAGGCTTCAAATATAACGCATTCAGAGTGGACGAAGATTTGTAGGGTATTAAAGATTCGCTAAGGGGCCAAGTTCTTGATTTGTGAGATAAAAGCAAAATTAACAAAAATCAGTGTACATGGAGAACGAGTGGAAGGAAGTTTCTGAAATGCAAAACAAAGCCTTTACTCTTTTTGGTATGGAAAGATAAACACTATGTTCTGGGATTGGGTGTTAATTTCATAGTAAATAGGAAGAAGGTATGTATTTCGTTAACACTGGGCAACAAAATTCAACTTTTTTTCGATAATTACAGGAAAATCCAGTAGATTGGGAATGTAAAGCTAAAAATAGTAGAACATCGAAAGGTCTCTCCTCACCCACAGTATTTGATAATTTTAGATTAAGTCCACATGGAATTCTTGCATTTTAGGGATATAGTTTCTTCGGAAATATTACTTATAACACAAGGATTATTTTGGTGCTAGTCACTAAAGGATTTTTTATTGGTACTTTTTGGAAAAATGGTGAAAATTCCCTTTAAACGAGATCGTAACCAGGTCCCAGAATGCATCAGAAGTCGAATTCTTACATAAACTCCGAGGACGGTATTCAAACTATAATTATTGATGGCATTTGTGACTACTTCAGTATAAATGCCACTCAGATGCTCTCTATTGTAGTGTTGGATCTCCCTCTCTAAATTATATATATTCTTGTTGATGACTGGGTGTGGGGGTTTTATCCACCGTATGATGGTTTGGATGACACCCATACAGGAAGTCCATCGAAAGCATATGATTATGCTGACGTACGGGTAGATGGTCCACTGGTGTCGTGAGGAGGCATACTGTCGCAGTTCTCAGGGCAGCATGTTGGCAGATCTGGATATTCCTCCACTACCTGACCACACTGAAGCCGCATAGCTGACCACAAAACCGAACTATCGCGTAATAAGAGGTCAATTAGTCAATTGTCCGCATCCCAAGTGTCTTGAGAACCTTGTTCCTACTTTCTATTTTGTCGCAGATAGCTGTGGCTTGGGCTAGCGCCTTGAGGGCCTTGTTCCTGCTTTTCATTTTGTCGCTTTGATGGTTGGCAAGTGGATAACTTTCTCTGAAAAAGGGGAGATGCAAAGCCCCAAGAGTCTTTGCTACTGGCGACAAAAGCAAATGGCGTGCATGATTCACCTTTGTTGGCATCTTGGCTTGGCTTCAGAAGCAGGACCACCCGGTCCATTTTCCAGGCATCGGTAAAGATTTGGGTGGCTAGCGACAGGTTGAGAACTTTTGTTAGGTACTCAACTTACGGCGTATCCAGTTGTTTTAACGTTATAATTCCCTCTGGGCCCAACGCTTTGGATGACTTACCGTTAGATCTTATACGATGTAGTACTGTTCGCTTTACCCTATAACTCTTGGTGTGCTCGAGAAATTGTCGGTGAAAATATTCAGCGCATCAGTCACTGCTACGTCGTTCAAAGTGATTGAGTTCCCATCATTCTATTTTCCCAGGGTTCGTAAGCGATTTAAACGGTACACACAGCTTACTCATATCGGTACCAATGTTGCAAAACTTCAGATGGTCTATCCACTTTTTCCTCTTAGATTCCTCTATCAACTTCCACTGACTTGACTTCCACTGTCAATTCGGTGATCGTGAAATAATTAGGGTTGGCACGCAAGAGCTCATCACGTTCATTTGCTAGACCCGCGGCCTCTGCTGGGAAATTTTGGTATTATTTTTGGTATATAGCGAGCTGCAACTCTGATGATGTCTCGGAGTATCCTGCTACACAAACATCAGAAGGGTTGGGTAGTTCTCTGAAGCGAAAGTTGGTGAACTCTCTGAACTCTGGTCAGTAAGCTTTCCCATGATTAAGGAAAAATGGGTCTCATGAAGACGATTATCGGGAAATGGTATTCCAAGAGAAATGGCGGGGTGATACCATGGTTAATTATGGCAAATTATGACACTCTCCTCTCATTCCGTTTGTAACATCCCTAAATATTCCTCGTAGACCCCACTAAGTATATATATTCATGATCAGCATAAAATTCTAAGTCGATTTAACTATGCCCGTCTGTCTGTCTGACTGTTGAAATCACGACACAGCCCACATTATTTGGCGTAAAACTTCAAAAATTGCCACAACAATTTGTAATGTGTCTCGCATGGTTGGTATTGAAAATGAGATGTATCGGTCCACGTTTTGGCCATATAACGGTACCTCCCGATATTCGATATTTTGATGATTTTCAACCCATTTTACCACGAATTTCTCTAACAATTGGTAATTGTAGTATGTATAGGTACACATTTTCCTATAACGCACATACTATACCCACCGATATTCGATATTTTGATAATTCTGGTCACATTTACCCACGAAATTGTTTCAAATCTTGTATTTAGGAAGATTTGGTAGATGACAATCCTTGGAGTATAATATTGCCTATATAGATTCCCGTTTTGGTGAGGCCCCCCATACAACGGGTTTTTGAAAACTCAAACAGCATTATCCAGACGGTCTTAGTAGTATAAAATGGAACACGTTTGAACTCAGATACTTTTATACAACATTTTTTTCTTTCCCAATGGTGGGGGTATTAAAAGTTCGGGCCGGCCGAACTTAATGTTTTTTTACCTGTTTTAGTCTACAATGCAATAGCTTGACTTGCATGATATGTGGTTTCAACAAGACGGTGCCACACAGCGTGCGTAACAATGGACTTATTCAGGGGCGAGATCGGTGATTATTTTATTTCACGTTCGGGACCACTTGTCCCCTCAATTAAACTAACTTTAAGAAGTAAAATTTCAAAACGACGATACTCATGTCTTCTGGTTTTAGTTCTACTTTCATAATCGACGGTGTTTTTTCGGTAATTTTAGAAAAGTTATAAATTATCACAAAGTGTTCTAAGGTCTCTTATTTTTCAAAATTTGGAATTCCAATAAGGGCCAACAGAAATAGACCATAACTTGAACATTACCAAAGAATAAACCAAAGAAGCACTGTAAAAAATACGAAGACACTTATTCACTTGATTTATTTTTTTGCTCCTACAATAGCCAAACAAATCCAACATTCAAGCATTCTTTGTTCTAAATTAAATTCTAATCCCCCGAACATCCCAAAACTATGTGTCGGACATCATAATCTCTCAATAACCTAATTTTTGTGGCCTTTGGATTTGTCTCAGGTCTTAAGAGCTAACACGCACAAAAGAAATGAAAAGGAAAAAGAAGAAACATCAAAGACAATTTTTATTACATTTGGAATAATTGTTCCAGTTCTGACTTTCTTCAATTTAGATAAGTTCATTTGTTACACACCAATGAATCGCCATTGTGTAGTTTTCTACATAAATTTATTTATGACCAGACCTCGCCGCGCCATCTCCCAAAAACCGAAAACTATTACTAACTGTTGCAAAATGAAACTTTTCTTGTAAATTTGGCTGGCTAGCTGGCCGGTCGTGGGCAATAAAAAAGGAAAAGAAAGACGCATTTTTTTTGTTCTGCAGAGGAGGGTTTTGTTTTATGTATTCAAGTTTTCTGTGAATTATTTCATACCAGCAGCAGCAGCAGAGTAATTCATTTTTGTGTCTCAGCTAAACAATAAATTAGCATAGACATTTTATTATCATCCCACACAAAGCTAGATATTATGCCCAAGACGATGGCGACGGCAAGAGATGATGATGTGGATGACTAGACGTCGGCCGAAGACTTTTCTGTCTCTTCTCCCAGGTACCCATAGCCCAAGAAAAGAGGAAAATAAAAAGAAAAATGTCACAGGGAAAACAATGTTGGCTAAAAATGAAATACAAAAAACCAGCAACAGCAAGCAAATTGTCTACGAAACCTGCCAGCGATCCAGTCAACATGCCAGCCAGCCGGCATAATCTATTTTAATTAAACTAAAATTAGCACATAATCCAAATTGCCTTGCCGCCAAGTCTTGTTATTCGTTAGTTCGTTCGTTAGTTACTTGTGTGTCGCAACGACAATAATGGCATTCCAAGTTACTTTTTGGTTTACCACTTGGCCGGAATTGCCCCTTTTTTTACTTTTTATTAGAAAGAACAATCCCAAAACTGTAGTTATGACACTAATTTCTCTTAGCCTCAAAAATTCATTTATTCCTTAGTTTTTTTTTTTCTTTTTTTTTTGTTATTAACAATAATTTTGTGGTCATGATTTTAGTGGTGTCGTTGCCGTCTTTGTCACCGTCATTGCCTCCGCCACATTTATCTGTCTCTTGTAGTAGTTTGTGTGTTAGTTTCTCTTGATTACCACATGTTGTCGAAGAGAGAGAGAGAGACAGAGAGAACGAGAGCTGTTAGACACCAAATTCTTGACAATTTGCCAAAATTGATGTCAAACTTTGTATAAGCATGTTCATATCTAGATAGTTAAGTTGTTTTTTTTTTCACATGCATAGTACCACAACATTAGGGGTAAGGAGGCGGAGAACATATTGTTGTAACTAGAACTAATTTTGAATACTTTGACAGGGAAAGATTACTTTGGAGAATTTCTTCTTTCTTTTGGAACATTGTGACAATAATTATTGTTGGAATTGTCGCAATACGTTAGCGAAGATTTTAAATAAGTCATTCGAAGAAAGCTATCCCCTTCGAGAGAGGAAATCATGAATATTCTGAATACTTCGACAAGGAAAGATTACTTTGGAGAATTTCTTCTTTTTTTTGCAACATTGTGCCAATAATTATAGTTGGAATTGTCGCAATTGTTTAAAGGAAATTTTAATGAAGTCATTCGAAGAAAGCTATCCCCTATCAACGGCACCAGATATGGTCTTCCCGACTTGCTGCAAAAGGAAGTGACTACATTTCATTCAATCTAGTCGGAATTTTTACTGCTTGCCTAAAATTTGCGTATAAAACAAAATACTTCAAATTCGTCAGTACAGATTCACATATCCAATCCTTTTATAATTTCTAGGTGGACCGGGCCCTCATGGATAGGATAAATCATATGCTAAAAAATAGAAGGATAAGTTAGGAGCTATATGACGTAATAACAAGTAAAAAAAAAACATTAAGTTCGGACGGGCCGAACCCTCCTCCTTTGGGTAAAGAAAACATTTTTATGTGAAAGTATCTGAATTCAAACGTGTTCCACTTTAAACTACAAATACCATTAAGACTGTTTGGATAATGCTGTTAAACTTTTCAAAAAACCATAATGTGGGTGAGCCCTTGTATGGGGCCATACCAAAACAGGAACC